GAGAGAGAGAGAGAGAGAGAGAGAGAGAGAGAGAGAGAGAGAGAGAGAAGAGAGAGAAGTTTCTCTAGAGGCACAGGGTTCCTGCCCGAAACCCGCGCCAGCAGACTCTGAGTTGTCAGCTCACACTAACCTTGTATGCCAATACTGGACACTCTGTTTACAGACCGTTCCGAGGCAGCCTTTAGGCACTCGACAAAGCGATGAGACCTTTTTCCTTCTAATGAATTCAGACTCAACTCGAAAGATGCCCTGGACTGTTCTGCCAGTCTAATGTGAAGCAACTGAGCCCCAGGGAAAATGAATCTCTCACAATTTTGCGTAGTGAGATGGACTCGTTGGAAAACATTGCCTCGAGGTTGTAGAAACCGTCCTGTAACACTAATCCTTGCAAAATTTGTCTTTCCCTCTGGAAATTTCATGCAGTTGTTATCATAAGGTTGGCGGGAGACTGAACCCGCAAAAAGGGAAGGCTGGCCCGTACGGGGATCGAACCCGCGACCTTGGCGTTATTAGCACCACGCTCTAACCAACTGAGCTAACCGGCCAGTGGCGAGAATGGGTGTTCAAAATGACAATAACAAGTTTATATGGCATTCTTTTTTCTGGTTGGGTTGGAACACATCCTGTATATTTAGACAATTGAATTTGCCCTCAAAGAGCTGGACTTTTCCCGTTTCCTCAATTCTATACTCATTTTTTTTTTTTGTGCTAGGAAGTACAGGATTAACGACATCCTCTCCTCGTTTTTGTTTTCAAGACAATAAATAAGACTTCTGCCCTAAAAGCCAGTCGTACACCACAAATAACCATTTCCAGAATGCTTCTTCTCTTCTCTCATCATGCATGGGGTGTGTTTTTCTACGCTCTCGAATTCATTTATTTCAAATTAAATGGTATTAAAATACTTGAAAGTAATTCTAGGCCCCTCGGTGCTAACATCCGGCTCTATTAGCTGTAGTTTAAAAAAAAAAATACTGTAGAAAATGTAGCTCAGGACATAATATACAATGATTTGACATTTTAAATGTCCCGTTTGCAAAAGGCAGAACTGGAGATGCCGGGGATCGAACCCGGGGCCTCATACATGCGAAGCATGCGCTCTACCACTGAGCTACATCCCCAGCAGCTATTTTGCGTGCTTTGAGATTCAGCCCAATTTTTGAATCTGCCTTTTCCTTCCGAAACTGAGAGTTTTAGAATGTTTTGGTGTTTGTGTCTAGTTTTTGCTTTCTTTACAAAACAAAATCTTGAAATGGTCAGAGAGACGATAGTCACCGGCTTTTCAAGTACAGGATACGAGAAAAGGAGAGAACCCTTATTTCAAAGCATCTTTTCTTTCCATTTTTTCAAAAGCAGCTCAAGCCAAGAAATGAACGGTTGTTTCCACACCCCCTCCACCTCTCGTTTCGTATTCAAAGAGCTAGCCCAGAACAATTCAGTTGCTCCCTTACCAGCTCCAGCAAAAGTGATTTTGCTTGGGCCTAAATGTAGAATATTGATATTGTTCTGGGAAAAGCCTAGGAATAGAATGTGGGCGTTGTTAGGTTTCAACTAAACATAATTCGATACATATACACACTACACACACACAAAAAAAAAAAACCCACACATTTATGAGTGGTATATATGTGGCAAAGCATAATATAATGTTCATCATCCTCAACTCCCCAAGGCAAACAGTTCATATACTAGAGGCAACGGATTAAACTAACAGACATATTACCATCCTCTTGACCTCTAAACCTCTGTGTTCATTGGCTTGGTTGTTTTCAAACACAGAAAATTCCACTACTGCGAGCAATTCATTTTTAGGAGACAGTTCTCTGTGAGTTTCATATCTTCGTGTTTTGTTATTGACAACCTGACTTCTCTTTGTTCCAGATTCTTTTCAAGATGATTACAAAGCGAGCAGCCTTAGAAAATAACGTCTCCAGAGAAATGAGCAGTTATACTTCCTGCTGGCTATGTAAGAAATGGGATCCCCAACTTTGTAATCCCTTCCCTAGACACAGCTCACTGCATGTATAGGGTCTCATAGCCCTGCTAGCGCTGACTTCTGTGAACTGGAGCTGGGGAGCCAAAGGACAAACACTGATACTCCCGCCATCCCTGTTAACAGGGACCTGAGGGTGGAACTCGGGCCATCAGGCTCGGCTCCTCATATCTAGTGAGTCGTCTCTCTGGCCCTGGCTTGCATTTCTGAAAATATGGCATTTAAATAACTTAGAATTCTGTTGACGTGAGACACAATTGCTCCTGGCAGCACCAATTTGATCCCGAGAGAACGTTGGGCTTCTAAGACATTTCCATTTGGAAGTTTGTCTTTTTGGCACAAAATGGCCTATTAAGCAAAGAACTACCCTTGCCTCGACTGCTCACAGTATGAATGCTGTCTTCTGGACAAGCGGGACACAAGGAAAAGTGACTAATGAACTCTGCCAAGACAGGGTAAGATGGACTTTCAGAATTCCTGCTTCTGAAAATGGTCTGTCAGAAACTCTAGGCCTGTAGCCAATTTGAATGCACCAACAACGCTGAGAAACATTAGGTGACTGTCCAGACTGCCAGCTGTCTCGGTCTACTCTTGCAAGATTCCCAAAAGTTGCTTGCATCCATCTTCCGTTTCTCAGGTACCATTATATTCCTTCTCAGGTCTTTGATGGGATTGAAGACTAACAGTTATAGTTACAACTTAATATATATATATATATATATATATATATATATATATAATCTTAGATAGAACATATTAAGTATTAGATTCAGGTTCTTTAGGATAGGACACCTTTTGGAATAATCTGTGTAACATGCCATTTACCTACGCTCTAGACCTCTCTGGGTTTCAGCATGTGTTTCTTGCTTGATATTGTTCACATTGGTTGTAGTTCCATCCAATCTAGGTCATTATTCATCGTTACTTCTGGACAATATTTGATAACCATTCCTTTGTATATAGTCTTGTATCAAGTTAGAAACCTTCTTATTTAGACAAAAGGGGGAGATGTAGTGGGTAGCCGTTCCAGCTTTGATCTGGAAGTTCCAACCCCCATTGAGGCTTCTGTAACTGTCACGCCTACACGGCGGGGCTGAGAGAGGACCCTGAAGACCTGAGATCCTGATGCGCTGGCTCTCTTGTTTCCTGGACCCTGGACGCTGGAGGTAGACCGAGCAGAGTTCTCCAGAGAACACTGCCGGACTGTGCTGCACCTTTCCCAGACCCTGTTACCTATCCCTTCACTTGTAAGTTAACCCACAAGATAAACCTCCCTTTTAACTACGTGGAGTGTCCTTAATGTTTTAACCAATAGGGTCCCATGTAGCCCCGGCTGGCCTCTAACTCACAATGTAATGGACACTGTAGTGGATGAGGATCTTGCTAAATTATTCCTGCGTGCTGCTGTCCCAGGCCTGTGGCTCCTACCCTAGGCCCCTCACAGTCCATCAGTCTTCCCATTCCCCTCCTTCTCATGAATTCCGTACCTTGTTCACCATAACAGGACCATCTACTTAAATCCCCAAAGCTAGGCATCCGGGCGCCTATCCTCCCTTACACAGACACTCCACAATTAGTGTACTTTATAATGTTTAAGGGCGGAGGAGGGCAGCTCTGGAGTTTTTTGTGAAAGTCTTTCTACACTCACGCTACCATTCGAAAGCTCTTGCCCTCTTTTGTGGGTACTGTGGCAATTGTCTTACTTTAACATGGTTCTCCACAGGATGACTTACCAACTGAAGGCAGGAATCTTTGTTCTTTCGAGTGGTAGCATCATGATGTCATAGAAAACCCAGTTAGTGTTACTTGAGGTAGTCATGCCTGGGACGTTTTGTCCCTGTTCTATAGCAATTCTCTGCCAAACTCCAGGTATGAATGTAATGTCAGAGAACCTTTCTTTGAAATCAGTAATCTTAATTTTAAAAAGAAAGAAAGAGAGAGAGAGAAAGAGAGAGAGAGAGAGAGAGAGAGAGAGAGAGAGAGAAAGAAAGAAAGAAAGAAAGAAAGAAAGAAAGAAAGAAAAAGAAAGAAAGAAAGGAAGAAAGAAAGAAGAAAGAAAATCCCATTTCCCTCATTTCAATTCAGCTTCTGAAATACACTCACTGGTATCCCCCCGCCGCTACACCCCTAAAAAAAAAAAAACCAAGTGCCTTTATGTACTAACAATGTAACTTCAAAAAGAAATAAAATTCCACAATTGGAGAAGAAAAAGATTGATTTTTAAAATAGTGATTTTAACAGCAGGGTCCCTAGCAGCGAGTGCCATTTTACTTGGCGTCATTCTCCTCCTGGGGCTGAACTGTGGAAGCGTCGTGAGTTTTCAAAGCAGGATTGTTCCAGCCGTTGCCAGCATCTGCTTCCCGGTCTCCCTCTGGGTAGCTCTCCCGTCTTTTCGGGGGACCTATTGTGGCCTGTGGCTCAGACCCCTCCCCTTCGTCCTTTTGCTTTTCTCTTAGCATGGAGCGAGCCGTACGTGGCGCGGCGCTCAGCTTGCCAGTCATGGATGCCTTCTTTCTCACACCACTCCTGGGAATCCTTCAACAAGACACGAAAGACATGAACCACCAAGCAATCAGGACGTTTAACACTTAAAAATAAAATTATACTAAAGCTAGTGACTCGAGGATGGCAAGTAAAATACAAAGAAAAGACGACGCTTGGCCTCCCAGTCCTCTCAGATATGGGCAAGCGGTCACTGTCAAGACTGTGAGCTCCGCCCACCACCAAGCCTTCACCGGATGCTGTAGGCCCCCAAAGTAAGAGTCAAATAAATCCTCCTTAAGTTGCTGCTACTCAGGTATGTGGTTACTGTAATAAGTAAAGTAGCTAGTAATTCATAAGCTAACATTTTCTGGAGATTTTTTTAAAATTAGATTCAGTTTGTCAATTTATATCCTTTTTTATTAGAGGGTTTTTAGTGAGAGATTTTATTTTATTTTTTATTGTTAATAAATTTTCTATTCATTTTACATACCAACCACAGATCCCCTTCTCTTCCCTCTTCCCGCATCCCCAACCTTCCCTCCCAACCCACCCTCCATTCCCACCTCCTCCAAGGCAAGGTCTCCCATGGGGAGTCAGCAGAACCTGGTACGTTCAATTGAGGCAGGTCTAAGTCCCTCCCCCTGCACCAAGACTGTGTAAGGCGTCCCACCATAGGCACTGGGCTCCCAACTGCCCACTCATGCACCAGGGATGGATCCTGACCCCAATGCCGGGGCCCCTTAAGCAGATCAAGCTACACAACTCTGTCTCGCTTATGCAGAGGGCCGAGTCCAGCACCATGGGGGCTCCACAGCTATTGGTCCACAGCTCATGAGTTCCCACTAGTTTGGTATGGTTGTCTCTGTACGTTTCCCCATCATGATCTTGATGTCCCTTGCTCATAGAATCCCTCTTCTCTGTCATCGACTGGGCTCCTGGCACCCGGCAGTGGATCTCTGCATCTGCTTCCATCAGTCATTGGATGAAGGCTCTATGATGACAGTTAGGGTATTCACCAATTTGATTACTGGAGTAGGCCAGTTCAGGCACCCTCTCCACTATTGCCAGTAGTTAAGGTGGGGTCATCCTTGTGGATTCCTGGAAACTTCCCTAGCACCATGTTTCTTTTCCCTATTCCCATGATGTCTTCATTTATCATGGTCTCTCTTTCCTTGCTCTCCCACTCTGTCCCTGTTCCAGCTCAAACCTCCCATTCCCCTATGTTCTCATCCCCTATCCCCTAACCTCCATTGCCCTCCTCACCCCCAGTTTGCTCATGGAGATCTCATCTATTTCCCCTTCCCAGGGTGATACATGCATCCCTCTTAGGGTCCTCCTTACTAGCTAGCCTCCCTGGAGCTGTAGGTTGCAGTCTGGTTATCCTTTGCTTTACATCTAGTATCCACTTATGAGTGAGTACATACCTTTTTGTCCTTCTGAGTCTGGGTTACCTCACTCAGGATGATATTTTCTAGTCCCATCCATTTGCCTTCAAATTTCATTATGTCATTGTTTTTCTCTGCTGAGTAGTACTCCATTGTGTATATGTACCACATTTTCTTTATCCATTCTTTGGTTGAGGGGCATCTAGGTTGTTTCCAGGTTCTGGCTATTATGAACAATGCTGCTATGAACATAGTTGAGCAAGTGTCCTTGTGGTATGATTGAGCATTCCTTGGGTATATGCCCAAGAGTGGTATAGCTGGGTCTTGAAGTAGATTGATTCCCAATTTTCTGAGAAACCACCATACTGATTTCCAAAGTGGTGTCAATTTATATTCTTTATTTTTATCATTGATTATAGCAAACCTGAATCCATTTTGATATATAAGGTTGAAGCAATTATCAAAATTGTGTTAGAACTAAACTATTGGGCAAACATATTTGTGACATGTAACTAACAAAGGTTTAGATACAGAATATATAAAAATTTCTGTCGATCCATGAAAAAGGCACAAAATGTAAATTTAGAAAAAAAAATCTATGGCCCAATGTGTTAAGTACTTAGATAAATGAATAGAGAATATATGATACAGGAAACACATATGTGAGCTACAGGATACAGCTTCTTACCCACTAAATTGATAAAAATTAAGTTGCCTGACAATATGAAGGGTTCAGTAGATGTGGAACAATCAAAACATATACATGCTGCTGGAGGGTTATGTGTGAAATTAGTATATATTTGGAAAACAATGCTGCATTATGTAAAGCAATTGTTCTTGAAGAGGGAGGGAGAGGAGGGAAAGGAGGGAGGGAAGGAGGGAGGGAGGAAAGAAGGAAGGAAGGAAGGAAGGAAGGAAAAGAGATGAAACAGAGATCTGAATGTCAGTGACTGCTCTGTGAATCGCTTTAACAGCGGCTGCTGTATAATGGTTGACAGAGTCCATAGTCCATCCACACTGAGTAAATCCTCTTGTCAAGCCTGGATTTTAGAGGCTAGACAGATGGCTCTTCCAGAAAACCTGAGTTTGGTTCCTGTAACTTCAGCTCTGTGGCATCTGAAACCCTCTTTGACCTCTGCATGCATGCATACATTCATACACATAAATTTAACCAAAAAGAATTAAAACCGGGCTGGGCGTTGGTGGCACACGCCGTTAATCCCAGCACTCGAGAGGCAGAGGCAAGCAGATCTATCTGGTCAACAAAGCAGATGCCAGAAGAGCCAGGGCTGTTACACAGAGAAACCCGACGCAAAAAACCACACACACACACACACACACACACACACACACACACACACACACACACAAGAATTAAAACCGAAGTGCATGGAGGCACTTTGCAGATCTTCAGCCCCAGCACCCAGCACTAGAGAGACTAAGGTTGGCTACAAAGTGTCTCAGAAAACAAAACAACAAAACCCAAACCAGTTTTAGGGGGGAAAGTGATAAATGGGGACTTTTTGCTTAAATTTTCTGTGAACTTAAATCAACTCTAAAAATGTCAGTAGTATAAAACATGCAGTTTAGGAACTATTTGATTAATAATAAAATATAAAATTATTAAAAATACTTGCTCGTACGTGTTGAGAAAAAGTAGTTATTGCCTAGCAGATAATTCTTACATGTGGTTTTTATGAACTACACAGATAGTGAAAAATACAAAACTGACTTTTAGAGGTATGATAAAGGCAATACATTATCTAGACAGATAATCATTTTACTAAGACTTATCAACCACTTTTAAAGTCTTAGGACTAAACAATTTTTTTTTTTTTTAAGAGAGAGATTAGAGCAAGCTGGAGACAGGTCATCAGCACACAAACTCTAACTAGTTGTGCTGGAAAACACTTTTAACTCCAAGCCTTAAAATACCCTGTGGAGTGTGCTCACCTCCTTCATACAGTCAAGGAGCCCCGTGGACACTGAACTTCTCCAGGGAACAGTTCTCCCCTGGAGTGGAACAGCACAGGAGAGTGCAGGCAGGGCCGGGCTGGGCCTTGGAGCGCTGCTTTGTGGGAGGAGCTGCTTCACCTTCGCCTCGGCAAGGATCTGGATCTTTTGTCCAGGGTCCCCCAAACTCCCCTAAGGTCTCCGTGTTCAACCGTTAGAGCTTGGTTTTGGCAGCTCCCTGCCTGAACTTGCTTATTGGCTGTTGTTTGCCTAGGTCCCGAGGCTGTGAGCAGAGAGCAGCCTCTGTTGAGGTGGGAGTTAAGTACACATTTATTTTTACTGTGACTTGTTCAGGACCACATTTTACAAAATGCCTTGTCTCCTTTACTATTGTTTTGGAAAGGAAAGTTTATTAAAATTGTTTTAGTTTGAATGTAGAATAGTTCTATTAAGTATGGCTTTATTTTGGAAAACTCTTGAGTTTTGATTCAAATGTTTGCCAATACCTTCCAGAGTAAGGTGATATTCAGAGACAGTTGTTGAGATGGATGGCTTACGGACATTTCTGGGGTATTCACATTTGAAGATTCCTTATTAATGAATGTCTTTGATTTAAATCTGAGCAAAAACTGCAACATTATTCTTTGTACATTTTAATTATATAGTGTTAACAAGCTTAGATGCAAACAAATAAAATACTTAAGCTATTTGTTTACCTTGAAAAAAAAGAAAAATGCTTCAAGAACATTTGAATCACTCACTTACATGCACTTGTAAAGAACTGGGCTTTTTAAACTTCTTTGTTTTGTTTTGTTTTGTTTTGTTTTCAGACATGGTAGCCCTGGCTGTCCTGGATCTCAAACTGTAGACCAGCCTGGCTTCAAACTCATAGAAATCCACCTGCCTCCACCTGCCTCTGCTAGGATTAAAGGCATGTGCCACCACCACCTAGCTCCACTTTAACTTAATCTCTCTCCTCTCCTCCTCCCCTGCTTTCATCAAAGCCAAGGTCAGACTTGTGCTAGGCAAGAGATACATTCCCACTTAAATTGCTAATTCCACATTATTTTATAATATCGAACAGCATCCCCCCCCCCACACACTAGTTACAAGGAAGAAGGAATAAGAATATTAGCTTTATCCTTCTTTTGAAATAGTGTCTCATTCAGTAGCCCAGGCTAGCCTCAAAGGTGATCCTCCTGCTTCAGCTTTTCCAGTGCGGGGATTAAAGGCATAAACTACCACAGTCCATTGGACAGACTTTTTAATCTAAGAAAATTTGCATTTTTTCATCTGGGGAAAAAAAAGACTTGTGAATTTTACATTAACTGGCAGAAATAGCTTTAGCCAAGTGTAATAAAAAGAAATAGTGTTTTCTTCTACAATAAACACATGTAGATGACAAATGAGGACATGAGCTGTGCTACAATTTTTTTTTTTTTTTTAAAGAAATGTGACTTCCGTTCTTGGACAAGTGGAAATGTACTGAATTGAATTGTGCTCCCCCATACACCGATATGCTACAATCCTAACCCAAAGCATCCCAGAATGTGACTGTGGGTGTCCGTCCTCAATTTGGATATGGGTCTTTAAATCGATAAAGATGGTAAAATGTGGTCACTCGGTGGTCCCTCATCCAATCTTAGCTGTGTACTCATAGGAAGAGATTAGAATACAGAAAACACAGACTGCGAGATGATTTTGTGAGGACATGGTGAAAAAGTGCCTGTCCACACAAAGAAGTCTCAGAAGAGGTGAAGCCTGCTGACACCTAGTCCGTGGATTTTTGCCCCCAGAACTGAGAGACCCGTTTCTCTTGTTAGAGGCACCAGTTTGGTGGAGTGTTGCTATGGCAGCCTTAGGACTACTAAAGGGGGCAACAGTGAGAGCTAATGGTATGTCTCGGATTAGGCTCATTTTGAGGTTTTGTCCAGTTTTTATTTTGTTTTCCCACAGCAAGTCTGGCTGAGGTGCCCATGGACTACCCCGTCCTCTCCAACACTCATTCCCACCAAATCTCCAGCAAACGCATGCAACACCATTTTCGCTGCATCTTTTTGCTTCCCTGAGGGTCGCTGAACTGGATTTCTGGGAGTTCTGGTTAGTTCTTAGTCTCTCTCCATCCCTGGGATCTCTGCACCCTCGCGGGGTTCCATTGATCTATTCTTAACTTGAGGATCTGCCTTTACTTTTTGGGTTGTTTTCGACAGTCTCACTCTGTAGCCCAGGGTTGCCTTGCACTCACAGCAATCCTCCTGCCTCAACCTTCCAGGTGTCCGCGGTTACTGGTGTGAGCCTTCACGCCCAGCGGCCTGTCTTTTTGGCTAGGTGGGAGGGACGACAGGTAGGGAGACTGGGTCCTTCGGTCCCCTCGGAACCGAAGCGGCAGGGGTGGGCGCGGCAGCGCCTAGGGCATCCCGCCAAACGCCCCTCGGCTCGCGCTTCCCTGTCCTCCCGGGCCGATGCCGGGCCTGCGACGGCCTTTGCCGGGTTCTGCCTTCGCGAGAGCACTTGAGAGAACGCCGAGGCTTCTTCGTCCTCGCGGAGGTCCGCCCGCGGAGGCTGCCACGCGCTTACCTGAGTCGGCGGAGGGGGCGATCCTGGGCGGTGGACTACCCAGCCGCGCGGGAACCGGAAGGAGCCGCGAATGCGCTTCCGGCAGTAGTGTGGACACGGAGACGGGGTCCCCACGCATTGACAGGGGTATAGGCTTGAGTGTGGGGAACAGGACCGGGTGCCCGCTGCAGTAGCTTCAAGCTGCTCACTGCGGGGAAAGGAGAGTATAATTGAAAATGATTTGGAATCAGATCCATTCTGGTATGAAAAAGGAGAGCTGTGTGTTTCCGCCCGGTTTCGAACCGGGGACCTTTCGCGTGTGAGGCGAACGTGATAACCACTACACTACGGAAACCAGGTGGGTGCTGGCTCTCGCCTGGAGTTGTTGTCTCGGTGGGATTCGCCTCTGCGGCTGTGTCTGATGATTCGTGAAGGTGTCCCACGTGTTTAAACTCGAGAAACCGAGAGAAACACAAAGATCGCGTCTCGTTACCCGGACCTGAAACCAAATTCTATTCTACAAACGACTGAATAGGAAAGAATTAAACAGAAGCTTCAATAATCTCTTCAAATTACCCTTGTTATTAAAATTAAATGCTCTGAACAGGTTTTAATGGCTTAAGAGGCTGCTTAAAAAAATCATCCTACAGCCAAAATGGACTAACGAGGCAGCCCGGCCAGGAGATCACCGCATGGTCGGACGCGGAATTTGGTCTACAAAGAAACGATGAGCTGTAAGGGAGGTTGTGGGAGGAGGCTTGCTGCGAATTCCAACAGACTGGGTTACAGGGTGAAAGAAACTCCAAAAGAAAAACAATGAAAAATGATGAGCTCAGTGTGATCTTCTTGTTTCCTATTTTGTTTTGTTACAGACAATCTCAGACGTGTATGGATTTTCTTCATTAAATTTCCAAGAGGCCAAGAAAAAACACAGCGCATTCCGAGCCAGCCAGGAGTCGAACCTGGAATCTTCTGATCCGTAGTCAGACGCGTTATCCATTGCGCCACTGGCCCTGCACACGTAGGCTCTTGGGTGGGGCAGGGAACTAGTTACGCTGTTCTCCACGCTTACCGTTGCCCTGCCCTCCTGGTTTAGGTTTGGTTTAGGAGAGACCATTATCTTTACTCCCTCCTAGGTTCGTTTCTGACCCACCTACTCATCCCACCCTCCTACCCCCAGAAAAAAGGTAGTGAGAGGTGTCCCCGTGTCGCTTTTCTGTTCACACTCCCATTCATTCAACCAACAAAAACAGCGAAGAAAACGGATCCTCCCGGGCCCTCTAAAAAATAACACGACAGTTCTGACACAGACACTAAAGCTCTAAATAAAACTGTGATGGATATGGAGGAGAAGTAATACAAGGGAGGAAAATGGAACATGTCATAGTGTGCCCTGATGCCCCCGACCCCAAATATTTACCAAACAAAATGGCAATAGGCACGGCCCAGTATGATGCCTTTCCAGGGACTGTCAATTCTGCTACACATTTGGATAGCATCTAAGCAAGGATTATTTTCATATGTGTGTTTCAGTCTTTCTATGTGTTTGAAAAGGCATCTCTGTTCATGCCCTGTAAATAAATCAAGGGCTGTTAAACAGAATTGAACTGCTTAATGTTGAGACTATACATGTTGAGAGTAGAAAACTATTTAGGTTTGGTCATACAGTGTCAACAACTCCTAACATAAGTGCAGGCGACTGTTTTTAGACCTAAAGTATTAAGGGAATCCTACTTAACGCTTTCTCCTAAAAAAACAAAAAACAAAACAAAACAAAAACATGGCTCTTTCTCATCAGGTTTTGTACACAGACCCCTAAGGTAATTTGCTTTTTTTCCACTCCATCTCAGAATGATGCTATTATATATAAAGGGAAAAAAGATTTCAAAAAGAAACCAATTATGTTGAAGTATGTCACCAACACAAAGTCACAGGAGCACACGGTCACACTTCCAGCATTGAGGAGGCGGAGGTAGGAAGGTCAGGGTTAATTAAGGTCGTCTTTTGATCCTGCCTTAGCAAGCAAGCTCCAACCATTTTCCTACCGGAGACTCTGTCTCCAACCAACTAACCAACCAACCAACCAACCAACCAACCAAAGTATATACGTTTGTGCGCTTGGATTTTCAGTAATGAAGCAAAGTCCTGTGCCTCCAGGTCCTGTTTAATCCCCCCAGCACACACAGGGATGGGGCTAGATCCTAGGGCATCTCTGAAAGCTATCAAGTGTGTCCAGATGGCTGGATGCTCTGTCCACATGCCCTGTCCTTTTGTTTTTAATCTATAAAAACCTACTTCATTTTGCAGATGTCAAGGCCTTTCCTGGCTGTCTCAATTTATGGAACCATGTCCACAGCAAGGTATTGGGTGAATTTTATTTGCGTCTAATGCATGTATGTGTGAGGAGGGGAGAGGGAAAGGGAGAGGGAGAGGGAGAGGGAGAGGGAGAGGGAGAGAGAGAGAGATCCAGCTTTCAATCAGTGACTGTGTTAGGCAGAGAAAGCAAATGCAGAAGAATACATTGTTAACTGCCTTACATGACTGACGGGATTAAAACTTCTGCAGCCTGTCTGCTGAGGAGCCTGGGCTCTAAGTGAACCCACCATGTCCAGCCACATCAGTGTTTAAGTACATAACTGGGCATTGCAGCTTGGCCAAGCTGACACTGATGAACTCGTACCCTCTGTGTCTCGATGGACTGTCCTCTGGTTTTGCTCCAAAGCATAAGGAAAACTGCTGTCTGCCTCTTCTTTTCTTCAATGTGAGCAGCATGTGACACAGAGCTCTGTCCCGTCTCCACTCTCAGATGTGAAGGAAACAGATGCTTATTTCTTCAAGTCCATAGATCATAGAGTTCGTAGTTCAAGAATCTTCTAATGAAAGCAAGAGCCCTAGTACTCACCGACCTTCACTGCCCCCACCTTTGCCATCCAATGGCTGGCTGCCTTACAGTGTGACAAATCCTTCAACTATCAAGTTTAGAACTATTGAAATGTTGGATTTAGCATCATCTCTGGGACAACAGGTCTTATGAAACCCAACCAACTGTAGCTGCAGGTTTCATTTGTGAAGTTACTTTCACAACCATGACAGCAGTTTGTAAACTGTCCGTTTTCTGTTGTTTGAATTACGCTTCAAAGATGGGTTTATTGGAACAGAGAACTGAGCAGGTTGGAAGCGGGCACAAATACACAGCTCTGGGGACAATACAGAAACGTTGCAAATGCTCTTTCTTCGACCTTTTATGAAATCAGACCCTTCGGACAAAAATAAGGCTTTCCTTCCAGAGCTGTTGAACACGGGCCTCTCCTTTATGCCTTTCCAAAAATGGGCTGTTGATATCAAGTCTTAAAATTTTAAGACTTGTGTCTGGAATTCTTTTCGTCAATTTTAGAACCAAGAAGGAGGTAGGTGAAACCTAATTTACAGAGGAGCGCGGGAAGGTGGGGGCACTTAAAGAGTGATCAAAATCTTAAATTTGAATTTAACTTATAAATCATGAAATAAAAAAAAAGCTTGCTTGCTGCATGGACCGTTGGGGGTTGGAAGCATAAGTGTAACACACACACACACACACACACACACACACACACACACACACGTACGTACTACGTATACTACGTACGTTTTGAGCGCCCCGCCTACTCGCTTTTCCTTGGTGCCTCGGTGGTACTTTTAGGTAGTACTTTTATCAGCGTGCTGATGAGCTGCCGAGGACTTGCCCGCCCTTCGAGATAGCTTCCTTCTTGCGCATGCAGCCCGCACCCGTACTTCTCCCAACCCACCCGGACCAGGACTCAATCTTCTCGCAGCTGAGCAGTTTCTTAGGTCTTTGACGTGTAGTCGAGACCATTCTTAAGATTTGAGGAACTGCCTGGGCCATCTTCAATTAAAAAAAAAGCTGGTGAAAACGTACAACAAAAGCAAGGTTCGTTCCTTTTCTTTGTTGATTTGAAGGCCAGAACGCGTGCGGGCTCCGTGGCTTAGCTGGTTAAAGCGCCTGTCTAGTAAACAGGAGATCCTGGGTTCGAATCCCAGCGGGGCCTTTTTGTGGTTTTCCCGGTGTTCGGTGATTCTCTGGTCTGCTCAAGTGTAACATCAAAATCATCTTCATGCACTGCACGCACTTCACAGAAGTGTTTATGCAGATAATTTACAGAAAAAAAAAATTTAATAACAAAGGCTAAGGTTATTTCTTTAAGGACAAATTTATGCATTTCTTAGTGGTGTCGTCGTGCTGCCAACTCCCCAAGCAAGCACAAAAAATTACCAGGGAAAGCAGACAGAAAACAAGAACTACAGGACCTCTGGCTATTCTATTTTCTTTCTGCGGAGTCTTGAATGGGTGTACCCTCACAGTCTCCCCGAAATGTTTTTTTAATTTGTTTATTTATTTTTTTAAACCGGTTTTGAAATGATAAATCTGTTGTGGAAAGCCCCACAGCACCTCTGACAACCATATAAATAAGCCATGATTCATTTCAAATCTGTATTGTGGCCAGAGCTTATTGGAAAGGAACATCTGAAACCCTGTCCAGGAAAACATCTCTATGGTCGCTTGTCAGCAGAGTGAGTGACACTCTGAAACATGGAGACATGAGGAAGATGTAGGAGTGGGGAGCCTTCCCCCAAATTTTGCAGCATGAAGAAACTGAGAAGTCTGAAAAAAGAAAGAAAAAAAATGTACTTTTACTCTTAGCTGAGTGTCCTCACCAAGACCAGGGAAAGAGGAATTCACTGAGTGCTGCCGGCCCCTTACTCACGTCCCAAGATCCAGCTCCCAGCATTTGGCACAGAAATTCCATATGCTTGGCTTTGTTGGTTTTGTGGGAACAGAGCATCCTGACGCTCTGGGGGACAGCTGAGGAGGCAGTGACACTTCCTGACCCCCACGGTGTTGTAAGCAGCAATGGCTGCGAGAAGGCAAATTCTCTGATTGGTCAGATTGTTCTCTTGGCCCACAAACTCCTCTTCTCCATCCTCAGAGTAAAGGCTGCCTACCCTCCAGTTACAACATAGTGCTGTCAGCTCCTCCCACCGAACCTGCCTCATCTGCCCCAGGCAGACTGCACAGACAGCATCAGGTACCCCAGGCTGAGTGCGGCGAAACTGAGCACTTGGGTACCATTTTTATACAGCAGGTCTAATACAAAGCTCAGAGGCGTGGGATGTTAAGGTCACAAAGTGTCCTTCCAGGGGCTGCCCCACTTGGCCAGCTCATCCAAACAGCCTGCCTTTACTAAGACTACATTTGGCTTTTTTTTTTTTTTTTCCCTCACTAATTGCCAATAGAACTAACTGCCTGCCACTTCTGATCTTAAAGCTTTACCTAGTTACTGATGCCAGGAGCTCATCACAGCAGGGTGAGTTCCTACCAACACTTGATATAAGCACAGCTCTTGCTCCAAAGGAAGTTCATGGCCTTGGAGCATGGACTCAGGTTTCCCTGAACTTTGTAAAAGTGGACATGAACATTTTATAGTCACAGGACAGTGGTAGCAAAGGTCATTAACCAATGTCCTTACCACAGATGCCTTAGTGGGCATCAGGGAAACTGATTACAGCAAAGTGGTGGTGGTGGGGGATCTCTGCCATAGATTTCAAATATCATCTGATGTCATTCTTAGCTTTGGGGTTGATGAAAGCTAATGTTTTCCTAATTTAATGCATTCACTGGTCAGTACAGAAAGTGGTTGATAAATGGTTATTAAGGGTACTAAAGATAGCCCAAGTTCGTCTTGTTACTTGATCTTTAACATGCCAACTCCCCAAACCACAGAGGACTAATCACAATCTTCAACACAAGCATGTGACCTTTTTTGAGTGAACTTCAGTTCGCACACTGCCAAATAACTTTCTGTCTGTCGTAACAATGTATATGGATTTCTCTGTCCTAAGAGAACTGCCAGCATTTTCTCTATTCTCAGATTTACCAAAAGCTACCCTGGCTTGTTCGTGTATATCATGTTTTACATTTTAGTCTTTGTGATAATTAGTTTTTGCCAATTTGACAGACACTAGGAACCTCAACTGAAGAATTGCCTCCAGCAGACTAGCTTGTGGGCATGATTAATTAATGATGATGTGGGAGTTCCTGTCACACTGTGGGCAGTGCCACCCCTGGGTAGATGTTTTGGGGACCAAGGCAGTAAGCATCACTCCCCCATGGTCTCTGCTTCAGTTTCTGTCTCCAGCAGAAACCCGGCACTGACTTCCCTTGATGATAAATTGTATGTAATCAGTAAACTGAAATAAACCCTTTCCTTCCCAGGTTGGTTTTGGTCAGCATTTTATCGGAGCAACAGAAAGCTAACTAGAACAGTCTTTATTTCCAAATATCCCAAATAAAATTCTTTTCTTAGAGGTTCTTTTCAATATTTTGTTTAACTTTGACTGGTGGTGGTATCTAGTAACAACCGGATTGCCTCAGCCTCCTGAGTGATACAGGTACAAGGTCTTCTGTATCTCAGACTGGCTGAGGATGGCCTTGAACCTCTGATCTTCCTGCCTTCACCTCTGGGGAACTTACAGGTGTACACCACCATGCCCAGTTCCTGTCTTTGTACCAATTTATTACAAATTTGTTTGCTCCTCAGGGCTGCGGCTGAACATGTCCTGTTCACTTGCATCTGTAGAGACCATGTGATGGTTAATTTTAAATGCCAGTTGGAGCAGCCATGGGGTCTCCAGTGTTCTGGGAGTTCCATAACTGAACTCAGTAGATTGTCCTCCCTAGTGTGGTTGGACTTGATTCAGCCTTAGGCTGGGTGAGGGGATGGTGAGGTGTGGTGAGGGTGGGGAGCTACATGATCCGACTGACTACAGCCTCTGCTCTCTAGATTTTCAGTCCTTCATACCTGGACTGAACCATGCCACCTGCCTTCCTAGTTTCTGGCTTACAATCAGCAGATCATGATACTTCTCAGCCTCAATAGCTGTGAGCCGTGCCTTTATGATAAATCTGTGTATTTGCCTTTCTCTATCTGTCTTCTTGTATCCCATTAGATGCTGATAGGTAGATAGATTATAGGTAGGTAGATAGATGGATGGATGGACGAGCGGATGGACGGACGGACGGACACATACATACCAGTTCTGTATCTTCGGAGGATCTTAACTTAGTATAAGTGTATATGTAAGTATTACAAATACAAAACCAGAAACCTCACCCTCCCCCAAAAAATTAGACCAGTGAGACGACTTGGGCAGTAAGAGTGCAGACATCAGTGATGATAACGAGTCATGAATTAAGAATTAACATTCATTTAACTTTTCTTGTGAATAGAGACATAGAAAATACTAAAATATCTAGTTTTCAAGCTATCTTGTAAGTGCACAGTGCTTCTACTGTAAAGATAGACTAAGAAAGAAAAATAAAATGTTTACTAAAGAAGGAAAAGGAAACAGTACCAGAGTGAATGAACTATGAAGAAATTTGTAAAAGATATCAAGTTGTCAGGAGTGGGATTCGAACCCACGCCTCCAGGGGAGACTGCGACCTGAACGCAGCGCCTTAGACCGCTCGGCCATCCTGACACACTTGCAAACGCTGCCCAGCTTATGGCTCTATCTTTTCAAAAATGGTATTTGTCACTCGGCCTTTCTGCCCTCGAGGTTTGAGAATGTTTCAGGTCTGAACTGTACTCGCTGTGGCTAAGTGAACTACCTCCAGCAGCGACAAAGATTAGCAGGTCGGAACCCTCGGTCGTCTGGCCGGTGCGGAGCGCGGGCCGGGCTGCAGCCTGGCCTGCCCCGGGTCCTCCGCGGGAAGCCGGTCGGTGCGTGACACTCCCGGCCCGGGGCTTCTGCACACTCGCTCCTCCGGACCCTCGGGCAGGCGATCTCCCCGCAGGCACACCCGGAGGCTGAGAGTCCGACCTCTGCACCGCTGCGTGCACTGGCTAAAGGCAAAAGCTTCTCCGAGACAAAATCCGAAAACCAGAAATCGTTTCTCTCCTAAACCCACCCGATGTCCCTTATAGCAATCCTCGACAACAGCGGATTTTCCAAACGCAACTCAAGACGGGGGGGCGACCTATTCCTAGACTGTCAGTCTCTGCCGTGGGGACGACGTCCCGGGAATCTCACTGGAAGTCGAAGGAACCGGAGCTCTGCTTTCAGACAACTTTAGATGCAGTCAGCTAACTGCCCCCACGGACCGCGGACAAGTCGTTCTGCTCTGTGGGCTTTAGAAATTGTTCCATCCCACTCCACCGCCACCCTTGGTTTTAGTTTTTGAGATTTAAGAGTCTCATTATGTAGCCCAAACCGGCCTCAGCTTCCGGAGTGCTGGGCTCACAGGCTTGAAATCATCGTGTCTAGTCTAGAAATTCTTTTTTTCTTTCTTCTTTCTTTCCTTATTTTGGGACAGCTTCTAGTGTTTAAATTCCATTGACGAAACACTGTTTAATCCCTTACACTGTTAGTAAAATGTCCAGCTCTCCATATCCAGGTAGATACAGGCGCTCAGCCCTACCCAGACCTACTGAATCTGAAATTTTTCTATTTAGAATACGGTTAGTAACAATGTGTCACATACTTGACAATTGCTGAGAAATTTTACAGAAGTATGTGAGGCAGCAGGTATGGTTTGTAACTTCACCCAGCTTTTTCACAACGTTCCGCGTGTCAGAACATTTTGTACACCATAAATACATATAATCCCGACTTGTGGATTTCAAACAAGTTTAGGGGATAACGCTCCACATTATGTGGCTAACAGGCCCTCCACATGATTGTGAGAACCATGGCTTAAATTAAATATAGTATTTCTGGAATTCTTAGAGAAACTCCCCCAGCATTAGCAGAAATTAAGGAAAGTTCGTAGGTGATACATTTGGCAACCTTTTAGGATAACAATTCTCCCCTGACTAATTAATTAAATCAGAATGTCTGGGAGTGCTGATCAGAGGATTTTTAAATTTAGTATTACTGTTGTTGACAGAAACGCTCTATGTCACCCTGGCTGATGACTGGGTCTTTAAGGGGCCATCATTCTCTGAAGGGACTCCGTATGCATCCAGATTTGAGAGCAGGGTTCCAGGGCTAAGTTCTAGTGAAAGCCTGAATCTTTTAAGGATGAGAGTGCAGGCACATTTATAACAATGTTCAAGGTAGTATGGAACAGGATTCTGGTCCAAATTATGCTTTTGTTTTGTTTTGAGACAAGGTCTCACACAGCTCAGGCTGGATTTTAAACATGTAGCTCTGGATGTTGTTGAACTCTTGATTCTCCTGCCTCCACCTTCCAAGTGCTGGGTGGATGGATGGATGCTACCCTCTCAAGTACTGGGATTCCAGATATTTGCTACCACAGCCAACTTAGCTTCGTTCTTTTTTGACGCTGTTGTTCCTGTAAGAATAAGATAGCTTTGTTGGTTATAACCCTCCTCGTCAGTTAGTCAGGGTGTGACATACAGAGGCTGGAACGGGAGCACCGAGGATCAGCACATGGTGCTCCCTAAGTGTCTAATGACTGTTTAGTACACCCACAGACCACTTTCCTTAAAACAATGAGGCAAAGGGAAGCAGACAGAGCTGATTGAAATCTGAGAGATCTTGTCTCTACCCGCGCCCCCCCCCTTTTTTGATAGGGCCTTAAAACTTACCGTGTAGCTCAAGTTGTCATTGAATCTGCCGACCTCCTAACTCAGTCTCCAGAGTGCTGATATTACAAGCATGTTCCACCATGCCCAGTTCTGAGACCCCTTTTCTTTCTAATCTCAGAGACACACTTCCATATATTCTGTGTGAGATTTTACAGATACATATTAGGATACACATCACACATTAAACACAGTAATGCAAATGTCTACTTTTCCTAGGCATTCAACATGTTAAATTACATGTATTTAGCGTGTGTATGTGTGCATGTGTATGGGTAAACATGCTGTATGACAAACACGTGGATATCTGAGAAAAATTCATTCCACCGTGTGGGTCACTGGGATTGAACTCAGGTCATCAAGCTCAGTGAGCAAGTGTCTTTCTCTGGTAAGTCATATCACACACACACACACCCTGACCCCCCTCACACACACACACTGCATTTTTTAAAAGGATGCTTAGACTATGTTTTCTGTGAATTTCTACAAGTAAAACTCGAGCACAAATGAGCACATGCATCTATTGAGGTAGTGTGCTGCTAGATAGGCTAGGCTGACCTTTGAAGTGACTATGTAGTCCAGGCTGCCTTCAAACAAGACAGTTCTCTTGCCTCTGAGTTCTGGGAACGCAGGCACATGTCACCATATTTAACTTAAATTAATTCTTTAAAGCAAAGATAAAGTAGACTTTCCTCCCAGGAGTACAGTATAGGGCAAGCTGCACAGGGTGGCTTGTGTTCAAGAAAAGAAGAGAAGGGAGGAGGACACTGGGTGCTGGGCGGTGATGGAGCAAAGAGCAACGGTTTGAATGTGTTCCCCAACTTTCATGTGTTGGGATATTCTTGCTTTTCGAGACAGGGTTTCTCTGTGTTACAGCCCTAGCTGTCCTGGAACTCACTCTGTAGGCCAGGCTGGCCTCAAACTCTATCTGCTTCTGCCACCACGGCCTGGTCCTTGTTTGGAGATTTAATTGAGTCATGGGGGGCAGGGATGGAACACTAGACTGGCGATGGCACTCCAAAGCTCTGCTGGGGGATGTACCCTCTTGGTGCATCCGAGCAAGGGATGAGGTTTACTCACCAACACAATTGCCTTAACAGGAATAGAAATGAAGTTACCTCTGAAACAAGGCTGCGAGCAGGAAGCTTTCAGCACAGTGGCCTTTTGGAAGGCAGTTTGCTCCCCATGAGTAGCTCCCCACCCCTGCCTGTTCTGGTGACTCTCTCCTGAAGGCCTAGGCCTGGGGTCATACAGATCAGCGCTGCTGAAGCAAGCAGTGTGTTCCCAGGCAGCTTTCGGTCCCATTTCACTTTACCCGAGTTCCTCTTCTTCAGATAAACAAAGGAAAGTTCAGAAGCTGCCTGCCGCAACCAGACTTTATTTATTTATCTATTTATTTATTTATTAGACAAGGTCCATGGACAACTTCCATTTTGGAAGCTGGAAAAAGTACAGTAGAAACGGAGGAGCTTGGATACACACAGGTCATCAGCAAAACAAACCCCAGCATGCAGAGGACACTGGAGCAGACACAAATAGGGGCATCCTGCTGTGTTGAGCATCCTGGTGCGACTCTGGGGATCCTAATGTAAAACAGAATCAGGAAGGCTTAGCAGGCTACCTTAAGCAACAGCACTGCGTGGAGAGGAACAGCAGCAGAAGGGAACTGGGGGTGCCCGTGAGGCGGGTGGGCGTTGCAGTGAAGGCCAAGGGAGCGTGCAGCTGAGACTGGCAAAAGTAACGGTGTTACCTAAGCAGGCTGAATCAAAACTGGTGGATTTGCCAGGTATGGTGGACCTGGCGGCAGTTCCAGCACTTGGAAGGTGGAGGCAGGAGTATCAGGAATCCAAGATCAGTCTGAGCCACATAGTAAACCTCTACCTCAGCACACACACACACACACACACACACACACACACACACACACTCACACACAAACACACACACACATAATGGAGTCAATAAAGTGAGGCTGGATTGACCTTCTGGGTAGGGTGGGGTGGTGGGGGTGGGGAGGATGGGGTGGAGGACACAGAAGGAGGAGCAGGCCTGATACATGCGGATATAACCTGGCGGGTTTGCTGGAACTTTCCTTCTGTTATAACCCTGTCTGTGCTCTAGCCCTGCTCAGCTCCACTCCTTTCTGTCCCTGGCCGGCTTGCTCACAGCTCTGCTTCCAGACAGGCAGGGCCAGTCTCCTCCATCCTCCAGAACATGCCTTAGAAAACTGTAGATACAGTGTTCAAGACACAGCCTGAGAGAGAGGACAAGAGACCTTAGGAGCCAGGGGACAGGGAGATGGCCGGGAAACGCTCTCTTTGGGGCTCTTGCAATCATGATCTCACAGGTACCGTAGTTTCCAGAATTGGGCCTGCACAAAACTGGCCCTGTCAACAGTTAGCCATGATAGGGACCCTACCCTTTCCAGCTGAACTAGTGGATGCTGATAGATTGTGGGAGAGGATAAATCGTTGTATTCAGTCATACCTGTCCCCTTGAGCCCACCAAACTTCAGTGGGTAACTACAAACCCATGTGTCCCACGACAGCCCTGGTTAAACTCAGTGTGTGGCATTGATGAGGGAAGGGGAGGGAACTAAGACAGAACAGAGGAGCGTGGGAGTAACTAGAATGCATTATATATGTGTATGAAGATGCCCAAAAATTCAATTGATAAGAAATTTTGAGATCTAGTCCTGAAAACCCTAGGGACAGGACAAGCATACCTAACTGGACACATTCCCTTCATCTGTTTCTGTCATGTCTTCTTTAAATTTCTTTATGGGCTTTTTAGCCTAAGATCATTCCTTTCCCAGCATGCTGTGCTTTTAGTTTTGTTTTTCTCTTGCCTAAAATCTGTGGTTCCACATACCCCTATTCCAAATGTTGCTGCCACAATTTCACGCCAACCTAATCACCTCCTGGTCCCTCGGGTGGTTTGCCAAGTCCTCCTGTGTAGGCTCTGATCTGAAGGGATATGGGCACTAGAAATAGATTAGGAATCACCTCTCAATCTCCCCGATATTGGCACAGAAACACGTTAGGACAGCCTTTCTCCTGCCCAGGAAGAAAGAGGACCCCAGGAAGAAAGAGGACCCCAGGAAGAAAGAGGACCCCAGGAAGCAAGAAAGAGGACCCCAGGAAGCAAGAAAGAGGACCCCAGGAAGCAAGAAAGAGGACCCCAGGAAGAAAGAGGACCCCAGGAAGAAAGAGGACCCCAGCAAGAAAGA